TTTTGAATATAATAAAAGAAAGTTCGTTTTAAGAATATTTCAAACCACTGTGTGTGTGTGTGTGGTTGTTGAGTGTGTAGGTTTGGTGTTACTCTGTGCTTTCATTTGTGAGCAGATAATCAGGCCATCTTGTTGTGTATGTGTGTATTAATGTATATGTGTAAGATTGATTAAATATGTATGTATAAGAGTATCTCTTGCTTTCTACTTATTACATCAAATGATCTACAACTACCTGTAATATGTATCCTGAAATGTTTATGTATAATTCATTCTTTATGTATGTCCTTATAGAATATTTCTTACCCTTCATCTTTCTATCATTCTTTACCTGTGTGTAGATAGTGTTCATTCACATTCATTTGTAGTAGATGTTTAAACGTGAAACATAACTAATAAATGAATGTTGTCCTAAAGAGGTTCCTGTAACCATCTGATGTTGTTTTTTTAATCGGTGAAAATTATCCATTACGCCTTCATTAGTATGGATGAGGACAACTACCGAAAACATATACTCATTTTTTGTTATCAGTTGGTACTTGATTAGGCTGTTATGTCATATTTTCCAATTGACCTCGTATAACTTTATTCTTTGTAACTCATGAGAAATAAATGGTTTGTATATGACTGTGTCCTTGTAATATACCTTTGAGATATATATTTTTATACTGTACTTACATGTAAAACTTCTACCAGTAAAGTTTGTTAAAGATATAGTGTTCCTTGATATTGTATTCAGATTTGAGTAGGTAAAAAAATCACAATGGTCGCAAAAATAATTGAATTTTATGTGCTGGTGTTGGTAAGTTAGTTTTCTTGGGAACACCTCTGATGTAGTGTTGGATCTCTCAAAGTGGCCCAGGAACCTGTGAGCTATATTCTGATACTATTAACCTCAGTGATAAATACAGAACTGAATGGTCTGTCAGAATTATTTGCCCTTACGTAGAATCGTTTAGAAAATCAAATGTATATGTACAGTCACCTGCGGTTATATCTGGTACAGTGGCTGGCACGTTTTGTGAGATGTGACAACTCTGTGTTTGTTTATGTCATATTAAAACTCCCGGAATGGCCCTAAGGAACCTCGCAACAGTAGCCAGACTAAGGATACTAGATAAGCATTCCTACAGAGTTGTCACATCTCACAAAGCATGCCAGCCACTGTACCAGGTATATAAGTACAGGCAACTGGACACATGTTTACCAGAAATAATAATGTCTCTCTCACTGATGCAAAATAAGGATATCTTTTTCTAATGTTATCTTCTTGAGTAGTTATTCCACAATCACACAGAGAGGTCAAGTATATCAATCTAACACAGTACAGGTTATAGTTGGCATATTGTAGTACAGTAGTAGAGTATTTAAAACTATTCTTGACTTAAATTTCTGTAAATTTTTCCTTTTCCTGTTTGAACAAATGTTAACCTTCTCCCTTATTTCTTTGGCAGTGTGAGCCATGATGGTCATAACTTGGAGTCATGATGTGAAAGGATACCCACACAGGTGTAGGACCCTCCAGCAATCATCTATTATTTTCCTGTGCTGTTTACGTATATCAACGTCCAGATCCTCTTTTTCAAGTCTTTTAGTGTTAATAACTAAATGAGAAGATTGATGTTTTGAGATTTTAACAGGTGGGCATTTTCCATATTGAAATTTACAAGAAGAACATTTTTACTATTTAGTTTTGTGTAGATAATGTAAATTTTTCCACCTTAACCATGTGTTCTCACTGTATCAATGTTAATTAAACCCCCGGTGTACACCTGAAGATAATTATGATACAGTAGTTATTCAGTACAGGTAAATATTTATACATAAACATTGTGGGGATAAATCATCTCTCTTCCCTTCAGGCCTTAGAGAGATTTGGTAGGTGTTCTGTGCTTCCTGGAGCAAAGACATATCATCCCACCTCAATTGGATGGTACTCACAGCTTTACTTATCTTGTCTTTACTTTGTCCTCTTCACCACTGATTGGTCTGTTAACTTTTTGGACCTTCTTTTGAACATCTTCAATCAATGGACAGTCTCCAGCATATCTCAGGGACCAGACAGGGTGACAGTACTCCAGACAGGGAAGCACCTCACTTTTGAATAGTGTTTTGAGGGATGGACAAAGGTATGTGAATGCCTTTCTTATAAGACCTTCTTGTTTATTTTCTTGCTTTACCACTATAGTCCTAGAAATTCAGTTCATTGTCAACATACACAGTAGATATTAGCACTGTACAGTACTTACAATTAAACCCTGAGTTCACAGACTTTCCTTGAGAGACATTAAGTTAACCTCTTTTCTAAAATTTAAGTATTTTGACTCTCATAACAACTGTAGGAAATGGTTACGTGTATATAATATTCATTTCACCCAAAACACTCAAATGTAAATGCAATATATGTCACTAACTACTACAACACATGTAAAGCAGTCTCGTATTTGTGAGAATTATGTGCAAATTCTCCACATAACAATACTAGGTTAGATTAGTTTAGATAAGGGTAGGTCGGGTCGGGTCGGGTTAGGTTAGTGTAGTAATGTAATCGCTGTGAAATTAATGATCACAAACACGCACATGACCACTGCCTCTTCCCATGCCCCCCCCCCTACACACACACACACACACACACACCAAGAAAATTCCTGGATATGCCCATGTGTTATTGTTGGTGATCTCACCAATATGATTAGAACAAAGTTACCATAAGCAGACTTCACCTATCTCCGTCTTATCCCACCCAAACTTACCCTAACACAACCTACCCAGACCAAAGCTATCCTAACCCATCCAAATTTAACCTAAAATATACTAGCTTTCCAATTGCAAGATAGGTTAAATGTACTTTATATTGTTCACATATGTAGTGTAGTACCGTGTGTATAAAACTCCACTCCTTTATCACATTATACTTGGTTTGAGATGTTCATTTCATAGCTACAAGTTCGTTTATGTGTGGCATGATGTTGTCAATGCTATATACAGTGTGTCTCAAAAAATGCATTTTTGTGAAGGAATGCTCCCCGGTAGAGACCATTAACACCAGATATATCCTCAAAACCGTTTCTACATTTGGAAATGCTGATTGTAAGCCATCAGTTTCCTTTATAATTCTGTAATAAAACGGCTCATTAGACTCATCCGCGGCTTTTGCATACAACTTTACCAGAGACGAGAATTGAATCATTTCATTGGAGATGTTTTCATCAATATCTTTCCATAAGTTTGCAGAAGATTTTCTGAAGCAGAACGAATGGCATTGGCTGACATGGTTTCCAGATTGCTTAAAAAACCGAAGCGATCCTTTACAAACGTGTATGAAGAAATCCTTTTGTTTAGGGACACCACTACCGGGTTGGTGATCAATGACTGTGAGGAAGCATTTTGTTTGGAAATTGTCTCTTGGACTGAGATCCGTACGTTTGATCGCCTCTACGACCTGAATGGACAAACTCGGTGCTTCTTGCCAGATCTTTTGTTTTTTCCTCATAGGCGTCAAAACTGGCTCGCTTTCTTTCAACGGAACATTTCAAGGAAACCAGCGAATTTACTGCTGATTTAAGAATTAGTTTTGGATCTTGGAGTTTGTGTGGTGTAGTGTTCACTTATTTATACAGCGTTTTTATTATTTTTTATTAAAATCTCTGTGTTAAATAAGTTATATCAGTTCACCAAACATGAGTTTTAGTAGGAAATATTTGTGGCAGCCTGATGGAGTTAAGGTAAGTGGTGCACAGCGAGTGTTAGGCACTCTGCTCCACTTGTTTATCGCTCTGTGGTAAAGGTTTTTAAAACTTTTTTTTTTTTTTACAATGTTGTGGGGAGCCCTAGATGTGGGGGGCCCTGGGCGTGTGCCCGGTACGACCTCCCCATAATCTGGGCCTGTTTCTCACAATTGAATTAATCAGTAAAAAAATACGCAATTCTTATGTCCTGTTGAATTTTGTCATAGTATGTGACTTAGACGTCAAATGAAAGGTGTATATATGTGTGTGTGTTCGTGGCATTAACAGTCAACTAATTAACCCTAAAAGTAATGTCGCATTTAGGTACTTTATTCAGACAAACGATAATCGATTTTATTCAGCTGGGTTAAATATTTGCTTTAAATTAATGTTTCATGGTGGATTTCGATTTATGTTCATTTTCATTAGTTTATAGAGAAGGTATTAGCAGAGGTGTGGTGGTGAGGGCAGGGACTCGTATGCCTTCTCATGAGAGGTGTGGGTACTCGTATGCAGAGGTGTGGTGGTGCAGGGGGCAGGGACTCGTATGCCTTCTCATGCACTCCCTTAGAGGTGTGGTGCTGAGGGCAGGGACTCGTATGCCAGAGGTGTGGTGGTGAGGGCAGGGACTCGTATGCCAGAGGTGTGGTGGTGAGGGCAGGGACTCCCTTGTTAGTATATTAACCCCCCAACAATGCGGCTGGGCGAGTTTTTCTCAGCTGCAAGCATCATATTTGAAACACGTTGATTTCCTTTTTATTTTGAGTTTGGGACATGATACAGTGTTCAGACTTGATCCACGTGATAATCAAATTGTGTGAAGCATTAGATGGATTACAACACCTATGAACAAAATGGAATTATACGAATCACAACAAATAATAATTGGTGTGACTTGTTGCAGCTGGCCATCAGCGGAAAATACCTTATGAAAATACAAGTACAAAAAACACACAGCTCGAATTAACAATCATTTAACCATTATATATACATGTACTCTGAAATGATGTATTACCAATTAATGATAAATATTTCTAAAACTCCTAGAGTACATGGAAATTAATGTCAATGGCCCGATAATTGTGATAAAAACTGAACGGCGGCAACTGACTGTCAGCTCGATGGAGACAGAGATGCCTAAAATTATTATTCTTGCCATTTATTCCCACGTAGAGAGGCAGTTTATAACAACACCTTCAATAAAAATGAAATATATAATTTAATTAACGTGAGTATTGACGGGATTTTATTTGTACAGAAAGCTGTATAAATGAAGAAATAAATTTTCCTTGGTGGATAAGGTGGTCAAATGTGATGTTGAGTCACATGTGTGGTAGTGGTGGTGGTGAGGGACCAACACCCAGCACTGAGGAAGGAATGAACACCTCACTACACACCACTACTACCACCATGGCCACCCAGACTGACACACACTCCCAAAATCACAGTGAGATGAACGAGCTTCCCCCACCCAGGATGATTTCCCAGAGAGCTCATCAAACGCTAGCCTTCCCGACATTTTCCTCAAATTACACCAAGATGATTCAAGCCAACTTATACGATAAACTTACCAACCCTAAGGTGAGTTAATTTCCGTCACCACCACTACTCATAAATATTGATTGCTCTCTGGAAACTGAGATATTTATAGTGTAGATGAAAGTATTCCAGTATCGTTTTTCACAAGTGCTTTTCATCAAGAATTTTATGAGCATTATATTTTCCCGCCAATGGCATGATAAAGCGCTAGCCTTATTTTTTAGGTATAATTAAGTCGATTTTTTTGCTGTTTTTGAAGAAGTCGAGTATAATAATAAAAATATATATAAATATTTGATATAATATCCTCTTGAAATTGCTCATGTATATTGTATGTCTATTTTTCTATTGTTCCTGTCATTACATTTAACACTATCACTATTAATATTTCTGAGATGTGTTTTATATGTTGGGTAAGATGTATAATCGTGTTTAAATATTCATGTAACTCCTTAAACCGATATCTTATGAAATGACTACAATTTTTAATGAGCCCATCCCAAGCACACGTTACAGATAACAATATTATGAGGGTTTGTTTTATACTGACATACAACACACATTCAAACTCGCTTCTCTACAGTTTCTAGACTTGTTACCTGTTGCTATATACAGAATCACCCGAGAGATTGTTTTAATTGCGTTTTTAACCCAAAGGTATATTTGTCTAATTATAATAACCGTGTAAACTAATATTAATAATTTACCTTTTATTTTAGTTTCGATAATTTGATGTATAAAAGTATTTAGGTCTCAGTCGCATATTCTCAGGCTGATAATTCGGTATAAACTGATAGTGCGTTCTGTACAGTAATTAATAATAATAATAATATAACACTACCTTAATATTAATATAAACTCTTAACTATTCTTAAAGCAAAAATAAACAAAATGTGCTTACTTGGTATACGGTATATTTCCTGTATAAATATTTATTGTATGTAAGTTATTCATGACTTAGTTGCAGCGTTCTTGAGATAAATAACCGGTGTTTGCATGCTTTGCTATACAGTAAGTAATAACGTAGGATTCACACATCTTTACCTTACGTAGAACAAGATATAGATTATCCTTATAGAGAGTAGGGAACGCGCATTAATATCTAGGGTGATTTACTGTACATCAAACATACTGTAGTGTGGCATGGAGATCGATACTGTAATTATCCATATTGTATTTATAACGCTGTAGATATTTGAACTTATTTTTTATAGTTTTTGCGTTAGTGGTCTGACAGTAGTATCAGATGTGGCCATGTCACTCCATGCCTGGGAATAGTTTTCATAGCATCTTATCTCTAGATTTATAGTCTGATGTGATATTAGGGGTGGAAGTCCGCGCCACCACTTATCTCCCACATCCCCGCTGACCGATGTATAAATCTCTCCTCAAACAAATAATATTGAAATAGATTACTGTAGTTGATAATGACTAAATAAACATCGTAAATAGATTAGCTGGGGTGGGCGTGCTGATGATTCGTGATATACGTATGCTGTTTGTATAAATTATATCATTTCATCACATCAGCTTACGAGTCTTTCAGGCGTTTTCTTTGTTTGTTTGTTTGTTATTTGCTGCCCATCTCACGTGTGCCCGGTGGACCATTCCTCAAACCCATGACACAGTAATGGTAGATAAGCATGTTACCACTTGCATTATAAGACGGGGGTAATCCCAATCTAGAAATCCCTGGGACTTGTGGAAAGGGAGCAACGTAGTACTAAACATTTACAACTTGAATGCATAAATTGAATAAATGGATGTTGACAAATGAGAATGTCAGTCACGTCTTTCTGGCCTTCCTTTACGTGTGAGAGTGGCGGCCTAGTGTCACAGTATATACAAGGTATATTAAAATTTGCTCAGTTTCATTTAAGGTATTGTTTATTATCATAAATTAACTATATTGTATGTGAAACATTTTTTTTCCAGGGAATAATCAACTTGGCCCAGGCTGTCAACCGGCTCATGGAAGAAGAAGTATTAGCAAGGCTGAACATGGCTGATGCACTCACTCTTACAGCTAAACACCAATACTACTCCGACACTAACGGTATTCCTGAGTTACGGACAGCCATAGCAAAACTACTAACCCGCCACCATAAACCACAGAATTCGATCAACCCTGATAATGTAAGACACAAAGGTGATAATTTAATAGAGAGGAATAAGAGTTGGATATATTTTCATCAAATATATACAAGTACGTTACATATTTAAATCTACCTATTATAACTGTAGTTGTATATCAATTGTCAAGTGATATAGTTTTACTATTGATTATAACATGGTAATTTAGCTAGACAAAATCAGTACCTATCTCACTTTGTGTTCCAATAATAATAATACAGGTATCATAGTTTCTGAAAATTCATATATATTATAGGAATTTTACTTGATTGTAATGTTTGCAATGAGTGGTGTTTGTGTGTGTGTGTATGTGTAAAGGGCACAATAAAGGGAACAAGAACTTAATATTGAGTACTTAAATGATAATATTGACACAGTAATTTATTTAAGGATTCGATATCACCTTTATTTTGTTAATTACCGAACTCTCCCTAGTTAATTGTGATGAATGGGATAACGGCCTGTTTAGACGCACTCTCCCACACTCTTTGTGATCCCGACGATGTGGTCATTACCCCTACCCCTGTGTATGGTCGCATCTATACAAACTTTCATGACCGTTCAGCAGCCACTGTAATACCACTTGTCTGCAGTCAAGAGGTAAGTTAATGATTTATTTCCTGGGTTATATAAAGTTGGTATACAGGGGTATTTAAGGCCAAGGTTCTGATATATAGTACAGTGTGTGTCTATTGCGTGACCTGTGTTCCTCTCTGTCAATCGTCTGTTTAGAGTTGATCATGGGATACAGGAACTCAAGGATATCTTACTGAAATATAGCCAAGTACTAAAGATTAATTATTCTATGTATGGCAATCAACTCATAAAATCACTGTTCAGGTCACACAAGCTCATTTAAAGCTTAGATGTCAGGTTCCATCAGAAATTATTATGAAGCAGAAGATATCACCCCATAATGTTAATACCTAAAGACCGAACCACAGACTTATGAATGATACCAGACACATTCTTATATTGTTTCATTATTTCACTATAGATAAAAATTCTCTTCTTTCTAATTAGGACGACTTTGCTCTGAATGTTAAAGACTTAGAAAAACTGATCGAGAAGACAGAGAGTGAGGGCCGATGTGTGCGTGCGTGTGTCCTCCTTCATCCTCACAACCCTCTTGGCCACATTTACTCTACTGCACAATTAAGGAGCATCATGGAAATATGTGCTCAGTAAGTCATTGTTGCCAGTACGGTAAACCCTCCCAATACCAGATTTAATCCTTACAAGTCCTGTCCATTATTGGGAGGATTCTGGTATTGAGAATATCTGTAATTGAGAAGTTTGCTATTGAGAGGGCTTACTGTATTAGGTTTTGGTTTGAGATTTCATTATAAGTTCAGCTCATCAGTATTGTCATTTCACTAGTCTTGCCTTGGGTAACTGAAGAATAAATAATCAATTCACAGCATATTTCTATTCATAAAGGTCCATAAGTCGTCAAATTTCATTCTCAATAGGTACAAACAGTTATTTAGTCTTGTGATATTTCAGGCATGAGGTCCACGTGATTATTGATGAGATTTATGCCTTTTCAATATACAACAAGGAGATAAAGTTCAACAGTGTCCTTGGCTTTGAGTCTCTGCCTGATCCACAACGTACACATGTTCTTTGGGGGTTCAGTAAGGTAAGCAAAAACTCAATTTGTATTTTTTATAGATCTTAGTTAGGCTAGGGAGTTGGTCACCTGCTGGGGATTTGTCATACTGGGTACTAGGTCTTTCCATTGTCAGAGAACATGGCACCTTATGGAGGATTTATATACTTTACTAAGTACAAGAATGAACAGAAAGCAAGACTGAGATGTTTAAATGTGTGTGTATGGGCCACCTTACATCATAGTAGTAAATGGCTTGCAAGTACTGTATGGGGAAAAATGCTCTCTCTTGTACAAAAAATGCAATACTGTTATCTGATAACTTTAATGAAATAAGCCATGGTGTTTAATCTATGTGTAATCATTAGATAAAGATGGTAGTCATAATTAATAGTTAGGTTTTCCTTTAGGACTTCTCAATTCCTGGGTTCCGTCTGGGAGTAATTCACAGTCTCAACCCATGGGTTCTGTCGTGTGTCACAACTCTGTCTCATTACCACTCCTGCCCTCAAGTTATTCAGCATGCTGCAGCAACTATCATTAATGACGAAGGTAAGACATAATTTTGCTGTATATTGTAGGTTTAGAAAATACTGTAACTGTCATGAAATAATGTACAAGACTCATGAAATACTGTATATTATAAGTAAAACTGTCATGAATATTGTTTATGTTAGTATACCATAATTAAGACTAAAATTATATGCTTTTAAATTCAATGAATATAATGGCTGGAGGCTGACAAAGACATAGAAAAAGCCAGATTTCTGTACATTTCTTGAAGACTGAGATGGTATAGAAATCAGAGATAGTCAGACTTTGTAAACATAATGGAATTAGCATCTGTTAATCTATAAACACACTGTCATCTGATGTGTTACCTTTCCACTCAATAGAAGTCATGTAAATAAAGTGATTTCGGGATTTAATAAATAAAAGATCATCTTCCAAACAGCTAATAAAAAACATTTCAAAGTATTTAAGAAAAAAATAATAATTCTATCATTATTTTTAGTTTATGACATTATGATGAATGATATACTGTACTGTATATAATTTAACCAGCAATACCACAGGGTCATTTGCCACTACCTAAATCCTGGTATAATTTGTATGTACAGAATGGTGTGATGGTTTCTACCTTCCTACTAATCAGGAGAGGCTAGCTAAAGCACACCACAAGATCTGCCAACGTCTACAGGAGATGGAGATTGCGGTCTGCAAAGGTCAGGGTGGCCTTTATGTCTGGGCTAACCTGCAGGCCTACTTGCAGCCGTGTACTGAAGAACGTGAGATGGGTGAGTTAACACTGATACTGTACTGCCCTATATTTTGATAAGGGAGCTTACTATTCAAGATATGATTTCTATGTATATGAACTCTAGTACCGGTATACAATATTGCCTGTATTGCAAGATTCTTTTAAAGGTCTTTGTAATGCCGTCCCAAACTTTATAAAACAGTTAATTCCTAGAAATTGGATTGTAATAAAAGGAAGTACACAAACACTGTAGCTGAATTCATTATTTTCATATTACTGAGAGGTATACAATATATTGTTTGTACAGTGGTCCCTTGGTCAACGAGCACAATCCGTTCCAGCAGGTTGCTCGTTAACCGAAAACTCGTTAACCGAAACCATTGTTTCAATGGGTTTTTGGGTAATTGGTTCCAGCTCACCGAAAATTGCCTAAATTCAACAAAAAAGGTAGAAAAGTTCACTTACTTTGAGGTGTGTATGTAGAAGGCTCCTGGATGATGATGATGATGGGAATTAGAATGGGGGTGGAGGAGAAGGCATTGGGGTGGAAGAGAAGTCACCCCATGGCACCATTTCACCCATAAAATTTTAGTTCTCTTGGTGTATTTCAAGATTATTCTCTTTAAATCAGCACTGCACTGCATTATATATTGTCAATATGTAAAATATATTTCAAAATGACCAATAATTTGCTTCGAAACACAAAAAAAGCGTTTAGTTGAAGAGAGTCTCAAGCAAGATGTTACCTCCACTGAAAACAGAGAGAGACTAACGCCTGTCTGGTGTGTTAACAGGCTGGATGGCACGCCAGAAACTAGTTTCTTTACCTTCAATTATGTTCAATAATTGTTAAAATGACTAAAAAAATTATATTTAACTATTAAAATTATTGAATAGTATAAACTTCTTGATATTTACTAAAATAGTAAGGAATTTAAGCCCTAAAACCGATTACTGTACTGTATTGGCGGACTAATACTACAGCTGGTGGACCGCCAAATGCAAGCGAAAACATGTTGAAGTCGGCTCGTAAAAAACTCGTTAATCGAGGGATTGGTCGTTAACCGAAGTTAAGAATCTTATGGAAGGTAAATCGTTAACCGAAATCTCGTTAACCGAGGCGCTTGTTAACCGAGGGACCACTGTATATAAGGAATATTGGTTATTTTATCTGTATTTAGTATATTTTATAAGTGTTATTTTGTTCTTTGCTCTTGAATCACACTCATTTTTTTTGTCAGTGTCTTGGTGTTTATAGTCTTGTTATATTTCATGAGTTATAAAAGGAAATCATACACCATATAAAAATATGTTTACAAGGTTAACATTATTTGTCACTGATCTTCATCCACAGCTCTGTTCATGGCTCTGGTAGATGGAGGTGTGTGTATACTACCAGGCAAGAAGTTATACTGTGTCAACCCTGGCTGGTTTAGGATTATATTTGCGGTGCCTGACGAAGAATTAGAAGAAGGTGAGACAAACATACATGATAGGTCTTCATTGACTGTATAAGTAATTTTTCAGGACGTGTTTACCATACCACTTAGTTTTAGATGGAGAGTTATAATGTGTATGGATGGATCTGTATGTTGGCCTAAAACTTGGATTAAAAAGACACACTCCAGATTAAGAACACACACCAAATGTTATTATGAAGAAAAGTCACTATGCCATGCCAGAATAATGTGTATGTGAATTAATAGTTAGTATGAACAAGTGTGTGATCTGCTTAAGCTACTTTGTTTGAGCAGCCAAATGACCTTCATATAGTTAGCTTCCTACTGTAGATGTTTTGTATAAGATAGCAGAGGAACATTGATTTGTGGTCTTCCGTTATACTGTACTTCAGAAGCTGTTTTAGATACTGTTGTTCTAAAAGGCAGTGATAGAAACAAATTCTTTAACATTTGACTGCATTTGTGCCTGTGCACTTAATATAGGAGGCTGGGTGCTACATAACTGCTTCCATTTATGTTTATACACAAGGGAAACTAATCTAATTACTGTATTTTAAGGTACAGCACATGTATAATTTTATATGTGCTTTCTTACAGGACTGTCGAGGATTGAAGTTGTTTTATATGTTTGGAAGAAGAATATCGAGTCAGATTCTTCATAGTAATCATCACAAACTGAATGATTTACTATAACAAGTACGTAGTTGATTTTCAATATCCGGTAAGTAGATTGACATCCTGAATAAGCTCCCAAGGATCACTTTTAAGTTATGTAGGGTACTAGGGAGGTTATTTGGATATCTGTCGGTGTTTCTTATTGAGGATAAAGATGAGTTTTCCCCAGGTGGTCCAGTGAACTGTCTGGGGTGTGGGCGGTGCTATCCCATGGTCCTGCCATTTCGGGAAGGGGGTTAATGTTCAACGTTAAAAAATCTGCATGGCCAGCCTGTCAATCCTACATGAGCACATCTTTAAAATGGTAAAAGGTAAAGAATATTGGTTGGTCATATTGACAGAATGGTCTCTATTTGTTTGAAAAATGTAAAGTGTATTGAGTGTCTTTTTGCATTGTGGTTCTTACACATTTGATTGCACACTGTATCAAAAGGGTTTGAAATGTTTTACAGGTACAATATGTAATTCATTCAAATTATTCACTGTTTTTGTTTTTTCTTGCACTACAGCATTTTTGGGGGTGTACAAAGGATAACAAATGGTATTTTGCATTATGAATTGATAGTTGTAAAACATGAAGTGACAAGTATAGCAAAAAATTACTTAGGAGACATATACTTCGAGTGCGAGCACTCACTCGGACACTCATCAAAGTGAATGCTCAAACTCAAAGTATGTCTCCTACATCATCTGTTGCTGTATTTTTCAATTCATGTTTTACAACTATCAATTCAGATTACAAAATATCACTTATTGGCCTTTGTACATCACCACCAAGTGAAAAACTGTCCATTCGGTCCCAAAAATGCTGTATATTTATATAGTTATAAAAGATTAATTCTAATGAGTATTATTATGTTTAATGCAATCTGCATTGGAACATTGATGTTATGATGTTATGACTGCTTCAACAACCAAGGTCTGTTAGTTCATTAAAAGGCTAGTAACTACGATTAAATAATTTATGAGAGACAAGACTCTATACAGTATATACTGTATGACAGATTTTAAAAAGTACAGTACTGTACTGTTCATCTAAGTTTTTCATAGCAGATAATGATCTACCATATGAATAAAACTATGAGTGAATAAGCCAAGGTCTTGCTGCATGCAACCAAGTGTATACAACACTCCTGTCAGAGTTACAGATTTACACCAAGGGCAGCCCCAATTCATCCATCTGTGGCTAGGTACTGTACCCAACTTTATAGTTGGATTAATGAAATTGAGTGTAGTGCCAGCCACTCTGCTTCCTAGTGTACTGAAGCCTTAACATTCAGTGTGCTGTATCCCTACTGCCACAACAGTCTGTCGGGCTTATGGAACCTACTGTCACCTCCTTTTGTTCCTAAGTCCATCAGCCTCTGTCAAAAGGCTCATTTTTTTGCTTTGGAAACTTGCACCAGCACTCTCCACCTCCAAGGAATAATGCACATCATCTGGAATTTAAAAAAACTCAAAATCCATTTGTGAACAAGTTTTTCTCGCTGATGACATAATAGAATGCTTTGAAACTCTGCACCAGCACTCTCCACCTCCCAGGGATATTGCAAGTCTCTGTATCAAAGAAAATGCTTCAAAGAATGTGTATCAGAAAGCAATTTAACCCTTTTGACCTGAAGAATACAGTAGAGAGGAAATCTACTTGAATCTTTAAGTCTACTTATTCTTTGAGACCAGTCGTGTGATGAATTCATTTATTTTACAAGCTAAAGACTGACCTGCAACATGGATGAAATGGACCTTGTGAGGAACTCAAAATATAAGGCACTAACTGGTGGTACCTGGCATTGTTCTGGTTTGCTAACAAAGAAATGGTGCACCAACAAACACCCCTACCAACATTCCACGGCACACCCAGGAGCTGTTGTCATGACCCAATCTTTTTTTTTTCATGTGGTGTCAACATGTCCGACCTTGGTCAAAATTAAGTGCGCATTCAAAAATTCTGGTTCTTTATATTAAAAGCGGTGGTCATACATAGGGGAGCCACTTTTAGGTAAGATCCTCCCCTAAATTAGATGGACTTTAAGGCCATAACCACCAATAACAAAGTACCACTATTTCCAAGAACCCACTACAGTGACCCCTCGTTTAACGAACGCCTCGGTTAACGAAATTTCGGTTAACGAACTGCCTTCCATAAGGATCTTCAATTCGGTTAACGAATTTCTTACGAACCGACCTCAACATGTTTTCGCTTGCACTGGCCGGGCAACCAGCTTTAGTATCAGTCCGCCAATACATTAATCGGTTCTAGGGCTTAAATTCCTAACTATTTTAGTAAATATCAAGAAGTTTATTCTATTCAATAATTTTAAAAGTTTAATATTCAATTTTTTAGTCATTTTAACAATTATTGAACATAATTGAAGGTAAAGTGACTAGTTTAAAGCGCAGCATCCAGCCTCTTAACACAGCAAACAGGCGTTAGTCTCTCTGTTTTCACTGGAGGTAACATCTTGCTTGAGACTCTCTTCAACTAAACGTTTTTTTCTGTGTTTCCAAGCAAATTATTGGTCATTTTGAAATATATTTTACATATTGACAATATATAATGCAGTACAGTGTTGATTTAAAGAAAATAATCTTGAAATACACCAAGAGAACTAAAATTTTATGGGTGAAATGGTGCCATGGGGTGACTTCTCTTCCACCCCAATGCCTTCTCTTCTTCCTTCTCCTCCACCCCCATTGTAATTCCCATCATCATCATCCAGGAGCCTTCTACATACACACCTCAAAGTAAATGAACTTTTCTACCATTTTTGTTGAATTTAGGAAATTTTCGGTGAGCTGGAACCAATTACCCAAAAACCCATTGAAACAATGGTTTCTGTTAACGACCTTTTCGGTTAACGAACGACCTTCTGGAACGGATTGAGTTTGTTAACCGAGGGGTCACTGTATAGGAAATCCCACATAATCAAGAGTCACATAAGGAGAGATCAGTCTTACCTACAAAAATGGTTTCTATTTCAATTTTCTGGGTCAAAAGGGTTAATGTTTCACCTAGATAAAAAAGAATGAAGGCCAAGGTGCTCTCTAATTAAAACCTGACAGTATTATGAGGGTAAACACTTGAAAGATAACTAGAGCTTTTCTATGGGTAGTGAGATATTTTATCAAGGTAGTAACACAGTAAAAGTATAAGTTAAAAAAATTAATGAAAACTTTACGATGATGGGACTAAGAAGCAAGGCACAGTACAGCAATACACGCTGTCCTCATCGCCCCGAGGAACTGTAATTGACCAAATATAATGTGTGATAGCCCTTCAATTCCATGCTTTTACGAAATTATATCCTAAAAAAGATGGGATGAGTTATTTTTATAATATAATAGTTTGCAATTTCAATAACAGGTGATTGTTCACTTGATTTTTTGTTCAAGTTATTGTTATCATGATGTAGTAAATTTGTATATCTTTTATTGTTTATTATTATCCTAAGCGTACTAGGAAACAAATGGGCTGATAAGGTGACCACCTCTGCTGCCTCTTGTCATTCTCCTTTGTGCTCCCCTCCTCACAGAGATTTCTTCCTCACAGTCAGGTCAGCCATCTGGGCCTCCTGGCAGCTACAGTGAGATAATTTATCCATACCCAACAAGTTGTGAGCGATCACGACGAAGATCTGTCTGTGGGAATAAGCCAGGATGTAATCAATCAATCCGTGGAAATATCCTCGGTTGCCCCGCCACTCTGAGACTGCCCTTATCCATCTACATGTTGGCCGCACTTACTTCACCCACAGTTTCTTTATGGCCAGAGGACCACAGCCCTATTGTGGTGACTGCCTGGTGCCACTGAATGTGGTACACTTGCTGGTAGTGTCCCAGTCATTTTGACTAGAGTCGTTTTCAGGCCGAGTGCCAGCATGGGGATGGTTCCTTCTCCATCTCAAAGGTGCTCAGTGGAAGAAGTTCAGCACTGATTATGGACTTTTTGCATTTTTAATCGCAATAGGCGTACGGTACTTAACCGCGTGTGATTTTTAGATGAGTACCGTTATTTTATTTTATTTTAATCTAAATATTTATATCATAGTTTTAAATTACGATTTTCATTTTTGGCATCAAATAGCCACAGGCTGCTATGCCAGATATTTTACCCAATCAATCAATCAACCATTTTCTCCACATGCCCAAGCCATCTCAGCCTCCCTTTACGGAGAACTTCGTCAATACTATACTGTACATTCATACCCAGCCACCCTCTTAGCTCTGAACAGTGCTTCCTCTGTCTTTCAGTGTCACATTGCACATCCACCTCGCCATTCTCATTTCAGCTCACTCGAGTCTACTTAAGTCGTCCTCTTTAACTGCCTATAATGTTTCACTGCCATATAACACTGTTTCGACCCATGTCAGAGCCATAGATGAGAGAGTTCGGCCAACTGGGCGCCATGTAATAGGTAGTAGGTAGCAGGCAGCTACCAAACAGGGAGGTACTACCGCCTGGGAAGATATTGGAAGCATAATGTGTTGTCTAATGGTAGACCCTGCTGCAAAAGGGCATCACATAAATTGTGACCAAGTCCCAGGTTGCTGGTCTGACTTTCTGCCTCATTTACACACAATTGCAGGGTCTCAATTGTTTCTCTTAACATTGACAACACAACATACATATACAGTATATTGCTTCTCACTCTTGATCTTATTTTATTTTTTCTTTATGGTTCTTTATTATTATTATTGCAGTGTTATTATTATTATTATTATTATTGCAGTATTATTATTATTATTTTTATCATTATTTATTATTTTTATTTTGTTTATTTTACTTATCTGAATTATTATTATTATTATTATTATTATTATTATTATTATTATTATTATTATTATTATTATTATTATTATTATTATTACATTTTCGCCCCCAGGCCCCGATGTGGGTCAGTGACCTGTGCCCGGGTGGGCTAATCCCCGTAAAAAAAAAAATTGTTACTCAGCTGATGAAGAAATTTGCACTCATACTGTAGAGGATGATGATGGTGATGTTGTTTATTCAGTAAAATTGTTGTACACGTTTATAATTGGACAAGCATGTTTACAAAGTAAGTGGAAGACAGCCAGAGAAGACTTCCCACCCACTGAGTAATAACATGACACCTGGTTAGACGAACTCTCTCTATCTAGGCTCTGACCCCTGTATCATTATACCTCTATCTGTGAATTAACTCCTAAACTCCCTCTCCAGATTATGGACATTGGTTATGAGTCTTTTAAATCTTCTTTCTGTGTCTGTTGCTGAGCTTATGATCTACTCTATATGTTGGTGGCCACTGATAAGCCTGTGTGTTGCTGGTGCTGAGACTTGATCTGCTCAGTTGGTGGTGCTAATTCCTGATCAACGTTGCTGGCAGTTTACTCTGAGGTGGTAAGTGAATGTTTTTGTTTTTCTTATCATTAAAATAGAACTATATTTATTAGAAAGTTCGTAAGATGTAGGAAAGTGTAAAGTAGGAGGGAGGAAGGACGTGTGAGGTGAAGGGGGGGAGGGAGAGGCACGGTAGAAGGTGAGAGAGCAGGATGATTTCAAGTTATAATCTGGCCTGACTATTCTTGGTTAATGTTGGTTGATAATAGTGTGGCCAACAAAAGATATAAAAGAAATGCAGGTTGTACAGTAAACCCTCCCCAACACATCCCCTGTTATCTCTTGAACCCTGCAATTCTTGAACAGAGGGTCGGTCCTGGACACTTTCTCATTCCATCACAGACAAAATCTCGAGTGGACGGGCAAGCTCGGACAACCACAAGTCTCCCCTCAAAACTTCTTCAAGGTTTTCAAGTCCCGACGTACATTTGTTTGAGTGACTCCCAAGTTGTGTAGTGTGAGATGATGTGGTTGTGGAGTGGAGATGGTGTGGATGTTTAGTGGAGATAATGTGGATGTTTAGTGGAGATGATGTGGATATGTAGATTAGTCAAGGTTCAAATAGGTTGCATCCATCATTAGTCTCATTGTAATTGCACATCTTCATAACTTCAAGTTTAGTTTTACATATTAATTATCTAACATTTTCTCATAAACAATTGATTATTTTTATGTTGAAGTACTGTATAGTAATTATTTTTCTTACTAAGGGTTGGGAGGGGCGGTGTCCCCAGCTGGGCTGGGTTGTTATGGCGAGGCTTGAGGGTGGCCACTCGTGTCACAGCCATTGTCTATCCAAATGGTAGCCGTTAAACTTTCATTTAGCTTCTCCGTAATGGTTGTAGCTGCATATTTTCATCTAAATAGTATTTTATTATTGTTTTTAGTGTAGTGTATTATGTAGTAAATTATAGTAGTTGTGTACTTTGTATCAGTAAGGTAGGTTGTTTGAGAACTGAACCCTATTTTTCTCATACGTTCTTGTATTAATTACAGTACGTATATGAAAATTCACCTAACGAGTAGTTTTTCAGGAACTTAACCCATTCTTATAGAAAGGGATACCTGTATATAGTAGAGTGGACAGTGTATGCCTACTGTAGGCTTGTGTTTAAAGGTGTGGGTACTGTATTGTATGCAGTGCATGTACAAACCCTCCTTCGTGGAGCAAGAGAAGAGTGACAGTAACACCTGCTTAGTGGATGGTACAGGACAAAGGCATCATATCATCACCACTTGGTCTGTCTGCATCACAGGCCCAAGACGACAGCATCTGCTGGTAAGGACAGTATACTGTAGTGTATACAGTAATATATTTTGTTTATTTTCAATATATTTTATGTGTACAATTGTTTTGCATAAATTAATACAGCTCAGTGTCTGTCTGTACAACATGAGTGGTTTAGACATGTAAAACTTAACCCAGTACCTGAAAAAATTCAAGGGATGTGAAATTCATCTCCATACCCAGAATAGCTTAGCATCAATTATTCCAGCTTAAGGGATATCACTGTACAGTATAGTAAAGTAAAATAATTATACTAAAGAATCACTATTATCTATATTGTAAGTTGTTAGAAGTGTCATAGTTCTTTCCATCATTGCCGGTAACCCATTTAATACTTTCACAACAGGGGCACTACTTTTAACATTTTTATTGCTAATGCCATATGATTCATTAATCACTTAAATTTCAATTCTGAGAGAAAAGATTATATTCCAAATCTGTGGTCCACGATTCGATTGTGGCCGTATTGACGCTTGGAAGATTTTAATGACATTTTCCATTGCTAATTACTCGCTAACTGTGGGTTTCCGAGGTGTGGTTTTGGTGTTAATGTGTTATTCTGGAAGTACTTAATTAGTTAAACTTCCTTTAATTCCAATTCCAAGATGAAAGTATATTTCGATCTTGGCAATTTTGGCCAAAATTTTATTTTATTGAAGATCTCAGTACAGTATAGATACTCCTGAGCATGCCGATTCCAAATCTATGGTCCACAATTCGATTGCGGGGTAATTAGTGGCTGTAAGGATGCTTGGAATATCTAAATAACATTTTTCAATACTAAATACTCGCCAACTATGGGTTTCCAAGGTGCAATTTTGGTGTTTTTGTAATTAATTTATCCCCTTAATACCTCAGGCACATGCTCTCATTATGTTGTAATTTGTACTGTAGTCATGTTTCTTAAAATGTTTGTGGACCTCTACTAAGCTTCCTCAGAAGATGGACATTAATATTTGATAGAATGTCTTTGTAATTCTTGGAATGCTATGAATAAACTAGATGCATGTTTTCAAGTCCATCTTTACTAAAGAAATATAGTAAGAAACTTTCATATTTGCAGAAGAGACTAAACATTTGATAAAATAATATGGATATTGCAGAGTTAAGCTTTACCAAGGAGTGCCCGGGACTTAACAATTGTAGTTGCATACAGTATTTCTACTGCTTGGCATTCATCATTGTGGATGTGTTTGGGTGATACATATAATATATACATTGCCAATCAAGCAATACTCATTGGGGTATGGCAGGCTGGTAAAGCAATGGCAAAGATAGCTGGTGAGGTGGGAGTGTCCAGGAAGACAGTGTGGAAGTTGATTATATTTATTATGTAAACTATAAATATAAATGTATTGCATTGATTCACATGGTACTGAAACCATACATGGAAAAGGGTTTCTTTACAATATTATGAACAGCTTCCATTATCAGAGCAGCAACTTTCATAATGACAAACTCCTCATACCACATGTAATTTGCATTATCCAAGTTGTCCTCTAAGAGGTTAGGCAATAAATAATGTGGGGTTTTAGACCTAATTTATTGCTTTAGTGTCTGACATGTGAAGGTGTAGAGGCATTTGGTGGTTAAATTATGTGGACCTTCTCATGGCAGAATAATTTCTCAAAGAAAGGTTGCCATCACAGACATAATTTCCCATTAAGTTTATTAGTCATCATTACAAAGAATGGAGGCTGTTCTGTATAAATTACTTATCCTCACTGCCCAAACACAATACTAGGGCAGGGGTTCCCAGACTTAATAATCTATATACAAATATGTACTGTACACTTTTCATAACAAAACTCATAATTGTCCAAAATGAGTGTGTTATGTGTAGGTATTATTATTGTAACTTTGTAAAACATTCTATAACATCATTTTGCTGTTCTAGAATGCTGATCTTGGAAAAATTTTCTTCACGGCTTGTTGTTGTTAGTCATTGCATGGAGCATTCACGATCATACTGCATCTAAACTTTCTCTGTTAATTCTGGAACAGCTTTGAAGAGGTCTGCCACAAGACCAAAGTCAGCAACCTTTAAAAGATAAACATTTTATTAGCTGACAAAGAGTTTCTGGTAACATTACCTAACTGAAGTCAACCTAACCCCTCAGGTATTATTTGGATATTTAATCATTTGGTGAAATAAGTTGGGGTGCTAATTTTCTTGTTATCCATAGCATGCCTTAGTAAACACACAATTGACAGGATAAAATGGCACAAACCTGGAAAATGGGGGCCTCGGGGTCTTTGTTGATGGCAACAATAGTCTTTGAATCCTTCATTCCAGCCAAGTGTTGGATAGCTCCACTGATGCCAACAGCAATGTACATATCAGGGGCCACTATTTTTCCAGTTTGACCAACCTTTAAAGGAAAAACATTGACAAAAAAAATATTAATTTCTGTATTCTGCAAGAGTATGTAGCTCCAAAATTAACTCTGCAATTTGTAACCTATAACAAAGTAATGCTCATATATACATTGAACTTGTTGGTTTTATCGTGTTTATGCACACTTTTACATCACATATTCTTATCAAATTATACTATAATATATATAGCAATATGTACTGTATATTTGTTTTTGGCATGAAAAGCCATAGTTAACAATTTTACCATCGATACAAGATAAATTATAAAAAGCCGATTGGAGGATTCTTCTATTTAATCTGTACATCTTCCTACTGTATACCATACAGAACATCATTTTAACTATACTGTACCTGCATGTCATTAGGAACAAAACCTGCATCAACAGCTGCCCTGGAAGCTCCTACAGCTGCATTAAGTTTGTCAGCAAGAGTGTACAAGAGTTGGAAGTTTTCACCATTCTTCATCCCCCGACCTCCGCTGATAACGGTCTGCAATGATAAACCAAAGGTGTTTTAAGCACCCAAGACTATAGTCTTGGGTGCTTAAAACACCCAAATTTGGGAGTTTTAGACACCCAAGACTATAGTCTTGGTGTCATTTTACAGTCAAATTTGGGTGTTTCAAGCACCCAAGACTATAGTCTTGGTGTTTTTCTACAGTAAAATTTTACTGTAAAAAGACACCAAGACTATAGTCTTGGGTGCTTGAAACACCCAAATTTGACTGTAAAAAGATACCAAGACTATAGTCTTGGGTGCCCATAACACCTAAATTTTGATGTTTTAGACACCCAAGACTATAGTCTTGGGTGTCTAAAACATCCAAATTTAGGTGTTATGGGCACCCAAGAGTATATAGTCTTGGTGTTTTTCTACAGTAAAACTTGACTGTAAAAAGACACCAAGACTATAGTCTTGGGTGCTTGAAACACCCAAATTTGGATGTTTTAGACACCCAAGACTATAGTCTTGGGTGTCTAAAACATCAAAATTTAGGTGTTATGGGCACCCAAGACTATAGTCTTGGTATCTTTTTACAGTCAAATTTGGGTGTTTTAGACACCCAAGACTATAGTCTTGGGTGTCTAAAACATCCAAATTTAGGTGTTATGGGCACCCAAGAGTATATAGTCTTGGTGTTTTTCTACAGTAAAACTTGACTGTAAAAAGACACCAAGACTATAGTCTTGGGTGCTTGAAACACCCAAATTTGGATGTTTTAGACACCCAAGACTATAGTCTTGGGTGTCAAAAACATCAAAATTTAGGTGTTATGGGCACCCAAGACTATAGTCTTGGTATCTTTTTACAGTCAAATTTGGGTGTTTCAAGCACCCAAGACTATAGTCTTGGTGTCTTTTTACAGTCAAATTTTACTGTAGAAAAACACCAAGACTATACTCCTGGGTGCTTGAAACACCCAAATTTGACTGTAAAATGACACCAAGACTATAGTCTTGGGTG